AAAAAAAAAAAAAAAAAAAAAGAAAACGGTCAAAATGAATGTTCCGTTTAATTAATTAAATGAAAATATTTCATAAATAAATTAAACGTGTTTAGATTATTTTTTGTTCATTTAAAAGAAAATTTTCACATTTTTATAAATATAAGTTTAATTGTATTATTCATTTACGTGTTATTATTTATCATCAGTCTACTATGAATTGTCTGTATCACGTACAAATTTCATTGATATGATAAATCATTTTTTGTAACCGTATATATATATATATATCAGTTTATAAATATTATATCAATTATTATTTGTGAACATCTTTATGAGACTATATATTTAATTGATTTATGACAAAACATATATATATATATATATATTAGAAAATGATATGTAAACAGATCTATTTTATTTAATAGAAAAAGATCACATATTTTATGTATAATATAATGTTGTTTCTTATTTGTAGTATCCAAATTTATAAATAATTTGAAAAAACAATTTTTATAACATTTAATTAATTAATTAATTGTATTATATTATTATTATTTGTGAAAGAAGAATAATATGCTGATGAAAATGATCAATTTTTACAAAACCTATTTTGTTCCTTTTTTGTTTGTTTTTTTTTTTTTTTTTTCACAATATGTATATAAATATTATTGAACAATATTTCGTTAAATAATTATACCTGTATTTGGGTTTAAATAATTATTAGTCTCGTCATCAAACGTTTAAATAATCAAATCTATTATTTGTTTAGAACAGTTAGCTACTTTGTTTTGAATATTAATATCATGTCCATTTTCAGACATGGTTTTTAATACGTCGAGTATTTTTTCTGATTGACGTACAGTATTAATTAATTCATTACGTTCATCTGGATTCAATGTAGCAGCCAAAAGAGTTCCCAATCCAACAAGAGCTCTGAATATCGCTTCTGGTTCATTAAAACGTGGAAGTAGTATAAACATTATATTTAATATGTTTATCTTGTCAGATGTATCATTACTTTTATTAAATGCTACTATCAAATTCAACATATAAGTTGATATTGCAATCTGAAATAATAATAATAATAATAATTGAAAAATCATATCTTTTTTTTTTATAATATTATAAATATTATAACGTAACAACATATATATATATATATATATACTACCTGATTGTGTTTATTTCCAAGAGAATTTAAATTGCATATAGCTTTTAATATATCATCTTTGTAAGATAAACAAAAATGTTCTCCTTTTTCATGATGAAACAAATTTGCCAATAATCTAAATGTTAACATTTGATTTGAAGCTATTGCACCAGGTTTAATATGTTTCTCTATTATTTTGAACAAATCTGGTGTACTTAGTTGTACATTTATATCTTCATGTAGTACTGCAAGACGTGCTATATCGAGTGCTGGAAATACAAGATTCTCAGGCCATTTTAAAATTTCATTTAATATATCAACAGCATCAGCTATTGTTTCTTTCCCATGTATCTTATTTTCTATCAAGTGTTTTATTATTTCTAATTTTGTTGTTGACATCTTAGAAGTACATTCTTGTTTCGCATTTAATTCACTTAGTTTATCTATAATAACAAACAAATAATATTTTACATGATAAATTTGATGATAGATAGATAGATAGATAGATAAATTGTTTTTTTATAAACTAAATCAAGAAAATTTGGCTTACCAATTATAGCAAGTACATTGGCTTGCTCTAATTTTAAATATTTCATATGAGGTATATAAGAAGGAGATGCAGGTGAAAGACTTGAATAACTTTGATTACTTTTAGAGGAAGATTCGGATGGACTATCAGTTATGTTAGATCCAGGAATATATCTGCTTCCTCCAGTAAATGGATCCATGTATTGAACATTATCATTTAAGATAGGAGTTTGTTGAGAATTTTTAATGATAAAATTTGCAACCTAAATTATACAAACATAAACGATTATGTATATATATATATATATATATATAAATGTATGTATATTCATATTAATAGTTACAATTTGTAATATAATTGATACCTGATCTAGGAACAATTGACTAAGGTCATTATCATGGAGAAATTTTTGTGCAACAACCCAAGGATCTTGACCATTGTTATATGGTAGTTTTAAAGGTGGAACACCATCTTGTATATCAACTGAGAATACATAATCATATTCTATTCCATTGTAAAGTTGTTTTCCAGATGTAGCAGTACTACCACCAGATGCTCCTACCACATTTCCAATTAATATCCATCTTTGTTCACTTTGTGACCAACTATATGCTACAACGTTATTCCCGTTAGCTATCATTTTGGTTTGTCCTTCTTTTTGACCAGGTTGTTCTAATGCTTTAGCATCAGGTAAACTATAACAAATGAAATATTATTTATTTGATTACTTTAACATTGTAACAAAATATTTCTCTCTTTATACTTACTCTTTTATTTTTAAACCACCTAATTCTTGTTCACTATTAATCGTTGTTTTAGCAACTTCTTCATCAAACTGTTGTAATGTTTCTATTGATGCATATCTTTCCGGAACTGATGAAAATATTCTAACAACACTATCGGAACTACCAGAAACTATATCACCATTTGGTAATAAATCTATACACCATACTGATTGTGTAGGTAAAGTAATAACCTGATCTATTTCACCATTTAACCATACTCTGATAGTACGATCTTCGCCAGAAGTAAAAACGTAAGAACCATTTGTTAAAGCTGTTATACTATAAATATAATTTTCATGCCCACTATAATTTCCTAAACAAATTCCAGAAGTACTATTCCAATGTCGTACTGTACTATCATTAGAACATGATAAGAATTCACTGTCTTTTATAGGTACAATGCCACGAACACAATCACTATGACCAGATAATTTAAATTTGATAGATCCATCCTTTTGCCATACTATTATCAATTTATCAGCAGATCCAGTTACTATGTTACCGTCCACTAAGTCTGTAACACACCACACTGCTGCGGTATGACCTGTTAAAGTTACCAAAGGATTTGTCAAATCCTTAGTATTCCATAATTTGGCTGTCATATCCCAAGAACTTGATAGAAAGGTATTTTCTACTTTTCCAGTACTTAAATTAGATACTGTATTCTCATGTGATTTTATAATATGGAATGGTTCTATCTGATCTTGTTCATAAACACATATAGTGTTGTCATTGCTTCCAGTTATAATTAAACCTTTAGGATTTTGCTCGGATGGATTTATGACACAGACAGAACTGACAAAATTGGTGTGTCCTTTCAATACTGCTGTCTCAACATAATCCTTTCCATTTCTGTAATTATTTTTTATACATTTATTCTGTTTTTTTATATATATATATATCTCTTTTTATATAATTTAATCGTACAATAAATAATATATTAAATTTGAAATAAAAAATATATATATATATATATATAAAATATAGGTTAAATACCCGCTTGGTTTCCATACGCGAGCAGTTTTGTCTCGGGACGTAGAAACAATGGACCCATCTGCGAAAGTTGCTATTGCTCTCACATCCGATGTATGCCCAAAAAGTACACTACTTAATTTATATGATGTTTTAGCCATGGTAACAACACATAAGAAAAATCACAGATCATCCGATTCACGAACGAGTATATGCATATGTACATAAACGAGTTCTATCCTACAAACATCGAATAGTCAAAAGAACCTTTACTCATGCGCGCTTATTACATTACTGCATTAGTTTTATAATTATGTAGTAATCAAATGATTAATTTAACGTGTAAGTATCTAATCAATTATTTAAAATAATTGTATTAATTTCAATCAAAATAAATATATCTTACCTAAAAGAAAATGAGAACGATAAAAGGGACAATTATATTCGAGATTCATTTAAAAACATAAATGTCAAAAGTGTAATAATTTGATTGAACGACCAATCATAAGCATTTATTGTTTTTTAATTGTTCATAAAAACTAACGTATTAATTATATATACGATTTAATATTAACAATTTAAAATAGTTAAATATAATTGTTTTATTTTCTCATATTTTCTATTAATAAAATTATGTCAAATATATCGATAGTTTTGAAAAATATTGGAATATATCGATTGGACGTATCGTTGATCGATATTTTTCATGGACAAATCGGCGGGAAATTTTGATTGGATAATACGTAGATCAAAGGTGAAAAATGTCAATCGATATAAATGAAGTATAAATAGAAAAAAGATAAATGTCAATATGGCTGAGATGCATTGTATACAGTATAAAGAATTGAATGAAATGTGTATTGTTGTTGTTAAGTGAAATTATTTGATCGATTGATAAGTAATCATGTAAGTAGCGCCACATGCAGTATGCGTCAAACTAGCTGGGTAATCTTTTCACCAGTGACTGTCAGTGACATTACAGTTAAATGTTTCGCATTGTTTAAGTTCATTTGAGTTTATATGCGTGGAAGTATGTGTTGCATTAGGCTAAAGTAAACTGTTCAACTATTTCCTTAACATCATGGACGACAAACAGAATAGTCGCAAAGTGATAACTATTCTTTTTTTGTGTCTGCTGTGGTACATTGTATCCAGCAGCAGCAATGTCGTCGGCAAGATGGTACTTTCTGATTTTCCATATCCCCTCACGGTGACAATGGTACAGTTAACCTCAATAACAGTTTATTCTGGTCCATTTTTCAATTTATGGGGTGTACGCAAGTCTCCTTCCAATATTCCTTGGGGTTATTATTTACGTTTAATTGTGCCTTTGGCACTTGGCAAATTTCTTGCCAATGTGTTCAGCCACGTCAGCATTTGGAAAGTACCCGTGTCATATGCCCACACTGGTATGTAATAATCTCTTGACATGTGTTTACTTTAAAAATACATTATTTGTTTTTTTTTTTTTTTTTTTTTTATAAACATTTATAAATGACAATTTTGATCATTTTATATATCATTGATTAAGTATATATGACATTTCTTTTGTCAAACATATTGAAACTTTCTTAAGTCGTCTGTTAATTTCATAATATATTGTTTTATTAGAATTAATATATTATTGTCAGTATCAATAATTCTATTTATAAGCTTATACATTTATTAGTATTACACATTAATCAAAATCTGGCTCTTTCCCAGTGAAGGCTACAATGCCACTCTTCACAGTCATTTTGTCAAGAATAATTTTACGTGAAAAACAAACATGGAAAGTTTATCTTAGTCTTGTACCTATTGTCGGAGGTGTGGCCATTGCAACATTAACAGAACTTAGTTTCAACATGATTGGTCTAATAAGTGCTTTAGCATCTACAATGGCATTTTCATTACAAAATATATACTCTAAAAAGGTGCATATATATATATTTAATGAGATACAATTATATTCAACGAAATACAATGTTAATATAAAAACAAATACTTTTCTTTCTTAGGTGCTGCATGACACAGGAGTTCATCATTTAAGACTTCTACTTATACTAGGTCGTTTAGCTTTGTTCATGTTCTTACCAATTTGGATATTTCACGACTTGATTAATCTATTACACGATCCTGTTACAAAAACACCAGTAAATATCTCATACGACATATTAGGATTACTATTTTTAGATGGCATACTTAATTGGTTACAAAATATTATAGCTTTTTCCGTGCTTTCAATAGTAACACCATTGACCTATGCAGTTGCAAGTGCTAGCAAACGTATATTTGTTATCGGAGTAACATTATTTGTATTAGGTAATCCAGTAACATGGATAAATGTGCTTGGTATGGCTATGGCAATTTTAGGAGTATTGTATTATAATAAAGCCAAATATGATCAACGTCAAGAAAAAGAGAAAGACAGTAGTGTACTTCCGAAATATTATAAAGCTGTAATTCGTAATGGTAATAGTAATTCTTCTATACCTAATGGATGGGCTGGTAATAAGAGAAATCAATTATTTGCTGTTTAGTATTTGTTTTAAAATATTATTTATATATATATATATATCTCTCTTAAAGAATATTCATTTTCTTATGACAATGAGAGTTGATTGAATCTGTTTAACAAATTAAAAACTCAATCTTTTACAAAAGATTATTCAAGATAACGTACAACCTCTGCATTCAGTAAAATGATCCTAGCGATAAAATAGAATTAATAAAGAATGTTTATATATATATATATATCAATTAATTATTTGTCTTGCACAAAAAGAGCTGTAAAGGTTTATAGTTTCGAGGAGCAAAATATAAGCTAGTTCTTAGCTATTTTATACGTTCGTATTGGAAGAAGAAAAAAAAAACAAGAAAACAGTATTATATTGTTAACAATTTCTCTCAAGTATCTTTGAATTCATGACGCGTTTATGAACTATTATGAATTAGCATCATCAGTAGCTATCGCTGTTGTGCGTTTCGTTTAATTATTTTTAGATGTTTATTTTTTGTGATTATAAACAATTGAATTGAATCATTTTTAAAAAGGTTGAACCTGCTGGTAAGGTAGGATTATATAATCTCCAATGCGCATGGATCTTTTAAAAAAAAAAGAAAAAAAAACAGCTGATTGCTGGTACAATTAGCAACGATTAGTTAAATATTAAAACTTAATTATACAATTAATAAATTGACGTTTGCGGTAATACAATGAGTTGTTAAATCTAATTTAAGGCTAATAAGAATATTGGCCATAGACGACGACGACGACGACGACGACGACGATGACGACGACGAGTTTCCTAGCTTGTAATGAATTCATTACGAGCGTGTAATTTTGAATAAGTAATGCATGAAATTTGCGTTTCTTAATATATTATCCTGTTACAATGTAACATTGACTATTTGTAGATATGCGTAATGATTATAAATGTACAGGTACATTGATTTGAATGTTAGATTAATTTTAAACGAATGTATCTCTCTTCATTTTTGCACTTCTATTAAAACATGTGTTCTCGTTTACATACTTCCGGGAAAGACATTGTACAGTTGGTGTGTTATGAATCAGCGCGAAGTATGTATGTGTGAGATAAAAAAAAAAAGAAAAATTGTATGCGGGAAAAGATGTTCTAGTTGAAAAAAAAAAAAAAAGAAAAAAAAAAGAGAAAAAGAAGCAATCTATAGTATAAATTTATTTTTTTATATAAATAAACACATGCGTACAAAAATATACCAGAGATATTAGTATCGCAGCAGCCATCATCATTCATATTAAATAAACTACTTTATCATTACGCCCTAGAAAGTTTTGACGATGTCCTGAGGTGATGATAGTGGCCTAGCCACAGTTAAATCTAAACGTGGACCAGCAGCGGCGATCAATGGTACGGCCAAACAACAATCGCAATCTTCTGTATTTGCTTCGTTTACACGTAGAATTCTATCGTAGGGTCGTAATACTCCGTCGCAAGGTCCACCGGGTCTCAAACGATTAATATATACGCCACGTTCGTAAAGTCCATCGGAAACTGAAAATCCGAAGTCTTCATAAACTGGATCCTTGTGCAATGATACGTGTATTATTTGTTGAGGTCTATTGTCTGATACCCCATGTTCTTGAGAGCTAAAATTAATATTATATTATATTATTTAAATTATCTATAATAATATTGATTATGTCAAATATTTTACATAGATATTTCATCAAAATATCTGTATTCATTGTTTTTTGTTTTCTTTTCGTTAATAATAATAATAATACTATCATTTTTTTTCTATGCATTTGAATACTTTTGATAAGGTGGTGTAGGAGGATCTAATTGTCCACTGTCCACAGAAACCGCATCCCACAGTCTCAATATTTCTGGGCCTGCTCCGCTACTTTCTCCTAATTCTCCCCAAGAATCCACCGCACTATCGACACTTGGCAAACTTTCCCTGGCAGAACGTAAAATAGTTGGAGGATACTGAGTTGGTACTGTATCACTTCCTATACTTGATTCTTTACAATAATCTCTAGAAAATGTCAAATTTCAATAATATTTCTCATCATTTTATATTACAATTATATTGAAACCCTCGTATGAATTACCTTGTTTCCGAAAGTGGATCTGATTTTCTTACAGTCAAAGCAACAACAGAACTTCCAGGTCGGTGAAGTAATTGTGCAGCTTGTCTCAGATCACCGGCATCTAATTTTTGATTGTCAATAGCTAATATGCGATCTCCCGATGCTAAACTACCTGTTCTATATGCGAGAGAACCTTTACGGACTTCGGTAATTACTAAATCTTCGTTTACAGTAAGTCCTAAATCAGGATGGCCACCAAGAGGTCTTGCAACTCTTACAGTAAAAACACCAGAATTAGGTACAACTGGACCACCCACCTTGTACTCAGTAACAAGTTCAATCTGTTGAAAAGCATTCGATTATATATATATATATATATAAGACTTAACATAACATTAATTAAAAATTCTATGTGTGTTTGATGCCAATTTCGAGCATTAATTTGAGATCCATTACCATTTGTGAATTTTCTAAAATATCAGCCACATCGGTAGGTTTTAAATCGCGTAATATAGTACGATTAATAGCGATTGCTCGATCACCGGGTAATAAAACGCCACTTTGTTCAGCGGGACCACCAGCTTCCAAAAAATTGATCACATAATTCATACGATCTTCCGTTTGTTTCAATGCGAGACCAAAACCTCTATGATCGGGTCGAAGTATTACCGTCAAACTTTCCTTCGTTTGCAAGGTTTGATTCGAGCTTTGTTGCACCTGTGGTTGAGCTCTTCTTTTAACCGTTCTCGCTGATGTACTTTGTAGTCTTGGTAGAATCTGTAATTTTGCTATACGACAATTCTCCGAAGTATTTCTCAATAATTTAGCTGCCGTGACAGCATCCTGTACCGGTGTATCGTCTACCGCTAAAAGTTTGTCTCCTGGTTGTAACGCGCCACAACGATCTGCTGTACTTGCTGGTCGAAGACTCTCGATGTAAACTCCGTTAGATATTTCTCTTACGGTTAAACCTAGTTCTCCTAGAATCGTAACGTTAAATAATTGTATAGACAAGACAATAAGGAAGTTGTTACATTTGAATAGATCGAAAGTTCATACCTGAGAGTCCACGTTCGAGCTGGACCAAAAGTGGACCAGACGTTGCTGCTCGAGCTTCGTCCATGTTGGCAACATCATATTCGATGGTCAAAGAAGCTACAGGTGAATCTGAACTTCTTCTAAGTGCTCTTTGAGCTTCGGCTAAAGATAAACCGCTTAATTCGGTATCATCGACCGCAAGTAATCTGTCACCAGGTCTAACTCTTCCTTCTTTTGCAGTTGGACCATCCGCTTTCATTCCTGTGACAACGAGAGCTCTGGAAACTCCACCGCGAAGAGTGACACCAAGGCTCCCACCCTCACGTTCTACTCTGACTTGTGCAACTTTAGATGATACACTTGACGGTGACGATATATTGCCGTCTTGTTCGTCGAGAAGCAAAAAACTTGGGGGATGGAAAAGAAGTGGGGGTACTTCCTCTGCCCTACCGGAATCTGAACTTGCCGACGTGGCTACGCTACCAGGTCTGGCTCGACTTTTGTGCGACCTCATCGTCGCCAATCTTAAGGAACTGAACATCCTCTATGTTGTCTTATACTTTTGTCAAAACTTTAACAAATCTTATAAACTCATGCACAAGCTTATACAGTAAATTCAAATGACACGGCATCAAACAAATAACTTTATAATGACAATTTATACGTCAAATTATTATTAAAACGTTCATCATATGAAATCATATATTTTAATATCGTTTAACACTTTTCAAATTAGAAAAAACTCTAACTAATAAACACTAACGTCACATGTATATACGCCAATAACTTTTTCATTTATCTTCTTTCGAAGTTTCGTTGTTTTCATCTACGAAATGGCGTCGTTTTTATCGAAAATATATATTACTATGCGACAACACGAAACAAATTTTTTCAATAACAATATACATAATATCTTCATGTAAACACATTTTGATTTATTCACGTACGTTAAGACGTAAAATTTCTATCACAAAAAAAAAAATACACTTTGAACAAAATTGAATAAGGGAAAGAAGAGGTGTAAGAAAAGAAGAAAATTAGAGTTAGGAAGATGATTTGATTGTTTGAAGATACTATTGGGAAGAGATTCACTTAGCGGGAAAAATTTGAAAACAATAATACATCCGTTTGTCTCGTTTCGCGAGGTAAATGATCTTTCTCTCTTTCTCTCTCTCTTTCTCTCTCTTTCAGTGAATTATTTGTTAGGAACTACAGTGCTCCTTCCGAACGAAACTCGTTAGAACCAAGAAGAGGACTGTAACGACTCGCGATGGATCTCGAAAATAGCTCTCCTCGATGTAGGGCCGCAATCGCGGGAGTAAACGCTAAATTCTATTTATAACACAGCTACAACGAGATCACTTTCGGTAGTGTATCTTTGAACATTCGAATTGATGCAAAGAACTGCGGCCCTGTATTTGTCTGGACTTACTACTACGTTTCTTCGAGCATCGAACGAGATTGCACTTATGACTCTGCACCTACACGTTTTAATGCTTTTAAGTATCCTAAGACCAGATATGGTTGATTCGCATACTGAATGTATTTCATCATCCTAGCTTTTAATATTTCTATTTGTGGTTATCGAGACTCTCTCTCTCTCTCTTGTTTTACCTTCCATTTTCATGACTTTCAAACTCTTCATATGTTGAAACTCACTTGATTAATCTTCTCTTCTTTCTATCCAACTAGTTCTTATTACTTCTTGACTTGTCATTTATTTGTTTCTTTTTGTGTTAACTCGTTAAATATATAATACATCATTTACTTTTTATAGAATCTTCTTCAAGCATAATTTATTACAAATTGTTAACAACAACAACAATAATATAATAAATATATAATTGTCGCTATTATTTATTTCATATTTATTCAATCGACAGTACTACTATTGTTACGATAGTAGCACACAACACAACGCGCAGGTGTTACGAATTACATTATAGAACGAAAGAATCATTCTAAAATTATCTTAAGATAAAAAAACTTACATTTATATATTTCTGTGTAACGTGACGCGCATTATTGGTTTTCTTCATTTGATTTTCTTTTTGTTGTTTCGATCTCGGCGCAAATCGAAACGCACTTTTATCAACATTTCTAATTTGTTTATATATATAAGTATAAATATATATATGTATGTATGTATGTATGTATGGTCACAAGATACGATTTACTACATATTTTCTTAATAGATCAAATATTTTTCAAAACGTTCATTTTAATTCTTTCCACGCGTCTGACAAATCTTTCAAGATGACACTATTTTTTTCTTCTTCTTCCCCCTTCCATGTTTTTGACTTACAAAGAAAGTAAAAGAAAGTCAATGTGAAAGAAAGAGGAAACGAGTAAAATATAGAGATAAAGAAGTAGAAATAAAAAAAAAAATAAAATAAAAAAATAAAAAAGGAAGAAGAAACACAGAGTCTGTCGGGGTTCAGAAGCTTATGCCAATTTGCCAATTCCTTGGCGGTCTAAAATTAGCGCGTAGTTTGCGAGAAGCTAAATGTACGAGGAACGGAAGACTGAAGAGGGAAAAGGATAAGTTGTCGGGCAAACGGAAAGAGAGAAAGAGAAAGAGTATGAAAGAAATATGAGTGGGAGATAAATCTATAAGAGAAAACATCAATTTGATGTATATTACAAAGAAAGTGTGAGAACCAAAGCTTTTAAATGAGATCAAAATATAGTAATAATGTTAAATAAGAACTAACGAAGATCAAAATATGATAGCAGACAAGTTTAAAGACTCGAGACTGACTTTAATAAAGGTATTCCGATATTAATAACTTGGACTACGTTAACGTGAAGCCAAATTTTATAATAATCGTATGACAGGTTGGATAATTATGCATCCTCCTTTGCAAACCCAAAGACAACAACCCAATCGAATATTGCAAATCATTACGAGTTTCTTGTACTTTCTTCTTTTAACATGTTTATATATTGTTACAGTAATATTATACGTTTGTTTGTAAGTTCCCTAATAGCACAAAATAATTGAATACATGTGGTGTATTATAAAAGACACATTGAAGAATATCTTTTTTAATATTTCAATATACACATGTTATTCAATATTTTGTCAATATTTTCTTACTACTAGGGATTCATATTTTTATACTTTTAGGATTATTAAAGAAAAAAAAAAAACCTTATAATGGAATACAGATAATAAAACTCATTAATATATCAGTGTAAAAAAAAAGGAAGAAAAATCGTACATTCCTTTGCTAATGACTATTCTAATATATTATCATCATATTGATTAAAAATCGATCACATAATGTATCCGACGTTACTTACAATTTAAAAAAAAAAAAAAAAAAAGAAAAAAAACGAAGAAGAAGAAGAACAGAAACAACATTTCTAATCTCGACATATATTATACCTAACATATGTTATCATCATTTCACGTTCGTTTAATTGTAAGAATATTTTTAACAACAACATTTTTCAATGATAGGAATAAACGATACTGGTTGGGTGTAAAGATAATCCTTTGGGACAATTTTACACCCGTCTAAAAAAAAATTCAATGATTCTCCTTCGAAAAGAAAATTGTTCTCTCTAACGTCCAACAACAACCTTCACTCTCTTTAATAATAAATAATCGAGAAGAGACTTTGGAATTAACGTTGAATATAAAATCTCTAACAAATTCTTTCGTATATATATATATATATATATATATATATCAGTCAGTTGCGTTTGGATTTGTATATGAAAATCCACGAAAAACACCTTGATCCATCGATGATAAAATTTGTTCGGGTATTGGCGTGAGTCGTGGTCTTTCAGCAGTAAACGCCGTGTCGAAATATTTTGTATCCAAGGTATGTTCTAAAGCTGGTTTGAACGGTGGTTCAAGTTGTCTCCTTTCCAGCCGGTCCCAAGGTAAAGACTACAGAAAATGATTTTATATAATATCTGTCATTAATGTACATTTTTGTTTTCATTTTCATTTCATTAATAACCTGATTATGTGTTGATTAATATAATCTACCTGAAAGAAAGGATGTACTGCAATTTCATGAGCAGGTGGCCTCTTTCCAGAATCTTTTTCCAATAACGAGACCAAAATATCTGTTGCTTCTTGACTCAAATATCGAGGTATGAAAGGTCTTTCATTACAAATACTCCAAAACAATTCGTCCTCGTCACAACCGGAAAACGGTGATTGTCCCGTTAACATTTCATATAATAATACTCCGTACGACCACCAATCCACAGCTTGATTGTACTTCAATCCTTTTATAATCTATAATAATAATAAATATTATTCTTTAACCAATTGACAAGCGAAATTTATTTGGAAATTTCACAGTTAATGTAATTTACCTCAGGTGCCATATAATCTGGTGTACCACAAAAAGTATCAGCGGTTCTGTCCAAGAATATTTGTAATTTGCACATACCAAAATCGGCAATCCTAATGTGTCCTTCAAAATCTAATAGAACGTTATCAAGTTTAAGATCTCGATAAACGATACCCTTCTTATGTAAAAAATTTAAACCAGACCAAATTTCGGCGGCATAGAAACGTGCACGAATTTCGGCAAATCGGCCAGATTTTTGTATATGAAACATTAGATCTCCACCATTGAGATATTCCATAACAAAAAAGAGATGGGAATCCGTTTGGAAAGTACAGAAGAGATGACAAAGATATGGATGCCTTGTAGCTAATGTAAGAACTTTGCGTTCGATCAATGTACATTCAACGTCATCATCTTCAAGAACGACATCCTTTTTCAGACATTTAACAGCATAAACGCAATCGGTACCACGTAACTCTGATAATAGTACTTTACCAAAGCTTCCTTTACCCAGGACCTAGAAAAATAAAGGATTGATATTATTGCGTAAAGGAATGAGAGAGATTGAACAAATTCAAATAGTTGACATTTGAATGCAGACGCGATATGACCACGGTTGTCCTACACATATACACACACACACCTTCAATTGAAAGCTCGTAGAACCTATACAAATATTAAAGTTATAAATAATTCGTTACGGTATGCTAAATTGGTAGAATCTATTTGCGGCTTTAGTAGAAAAGCAACGGTGGTGCTTTGAAGAATAAAGACGATGAAACTTAGGAGATTGATGTAAATTGTATCTATCAGTAATGTTAAACAAACGTGAGTTCCTGGCATTTGTGGTAATTCTTCCAACATAAACCTGATGAGAAAGTGATTGTTGTTCGCACTTAATTCCCTGGACTATTTCCTAACGATTCTTTGTGAATCAACCGATTTCTTCGATGTAAATACACGTGATTCAGATTAGTCTTCGTGTAGAGGTTTAACAGACAGTGCCAAGGAACGCGTCTCGCGCGTATCGACCCTCATATTTTCACGAACGTGTCTGCTTATAATACTTATATAAATTATAGATCGCTGTCATCGATATCTCGTGGAAATATATTTTGTATCATAACTAATTGTAACATTTGTAAATTTGATATAACAAACCACAAAGTTATTTATATAATATATAATAGTTTTCTATCAATATGATAATCCTAATTGTTGTATACAATTAAAACTAAAAGAAAACAAGTAATTATATTAAACAGTTTAGATAATATTGTAGTTCGGGTCACTCTACGAGCCAATAATTCTTGCATTACTCTAAAGAAACATTTGAAACAACCTTGGCAAAGAATGACGTATTGCATTTAATTCTCCCACATGCTGAGGTAAATCTTTCTCTAGTCTGGTATCGTATAAAATACATCAGAGGTTCTTCAGGAATCCTCGTGTGCTGTCAGACACAGAGACAGCCGGCAGATGTAACGTTCGAATAACAGTATAACGTTGTATTTTGCAATCGAGCCACGAATCGAAACGCACTTCGACTTAATTCGTTCTATTTACGACAACAGGGGTAATGAGCGATCCTCATCTTTCTTCCAAGACTTACTTTGAGAAAGTTAAAATCCGTCACGGCGTACTTTTTGAATCTTGGCAGATTTATTGCCGGTGGGGTAATACGACCACTTGGAAAATGATCCGAGGTATCCGAGTTCCTTTGGTTTTCCAACGATTGCGACGGAGCTGAAAACGAGACGCTAATGAGCGATTTGTAATGCGATAATTGAATTTAACGATTCGATTTTAATTCTCGAATACGATTAACTAATAAAATGTGGTCAATAAGTTAGTCGGTTAATAGCTTACACAGCTTTTCCCTAATTCCATTGGGTCAAGAATCGTTCTCAATCGTTATTAGGGTTGGTTATCAACAAGTATTATGCAAACGAAATAGGAAGCCACCCCCTTTCCAACAAGAATTCATTTTAAATGGTTCGTCTCATTTCCTAGTATAACAACAATACAAGAATAATATCTTGCAAGTGTCTACGAGAAAACGAATGATATATATATATATATATATATATATAACCAAGTGTTACGTGCCCTTCCAAATCTATACTCACCCTTTTTAAGAGCTTGCAATGCTTCGGCAACGAGTTTTTGATTCAATCCGCAAAGATTCCCTGTGAGTTTTTCACACTTTTTATGACAGGCCATATCGCAATCTGCACGAATTTATCAATATAAGCGTATAACGATAATTGACGACTATTTATTTGATCTAATTTCATATTAAAAACGAAATAATATTGTCTTTCTCGATGCACCTTTAAACCGATTAACGGGTAAGAAATATGACTCTGAAGGGTTCTTCAAAAAAAAAAATAAAATTCTAATATTGATACATCTATTTTCGTAATAAATGAAATGTTTAACAAAACATGCTAGTAATGTGTGAGAAGGATATGAAATAAAGGATAAGCAGAGCAACACACTAAAGGGTCTCAACAAATTCAAACGAGGTGTATATCAAAATAAGTAGTAGAGATTGATATTAGATAAATACTGGAAATTCTTGGCGAACCGTCGAATCCAGAATCGTTGCTTCTGGTTGAAGCCATCCTCTTGTGTTCCGGATCGTCATCCAATTCGGTGCAGGTTGAAGCACTGCTACCATCGGTGCTACCGGTAGTAGCCGTACTGGCTGTACTTCCGGTACTGTCGCTACTCACAGATGGTGTTCGCGACTGATGTCTCCTTCTTTTGATCTTAGCACGTTTTACTTTGGAAAGATCTCTTGGCGTGGCCGTGAGTAAAGCAGATGGTGTAGTATAAAACATTCTTATTAAATCGATCGGTCTCTGAGTAGGCGCATTCTTAGGACTTAATCTTGGCGACGATTTGCTTTCAGGTGGTTTCAAAGTGTTCGTTGCTTCTTGACGCAAAGTCGGCTTAGCGTTTGATATCGTCTCGTTGCGTGATCCTTTGTTATCCTTTTTCTCATTTTTCTCATCATCGTTAGGAGCTACTTTAGAACTAGATCTTCTCTTTTTAACTATCTTTTTCTTTTTCTTAGAAGATTCCGGACTAGTTTGCTTACTATCGTTTGGTGTCGCTACGAGACTGGCCTCGTTAGACGATGGAGGCGTCACTTTTTTGTCATTATCATCATCAGCATTAGAAAGATCATCGTGATTGTTCCATTTTGAGACCAGTGGGATAGTCGAATTAGTCCATTCGTTGGTAGGTGTACTAGGACTTTCATCTTCTTCTTCTTCTTCTTCTTCTTCTACCTCAGGTTTTTCAACTTGATCATTAGTCATTGTCACTTCCAATATTCCAACAACGTTTATTACGGGTACCGGGATCTCGTTGACCGGCGTAGGAAGTTCAGATTGCAATGGAGTTGGTGTTGAGGGTGATGACACTGTTGATGATGAATTCTTATCCAAAGATTCGATTCCTTTGATCAGGGGAGTTTTTCTTTTAACGGTCGAAGACACTTCCTTTGATGTAGGTGGAACTGGTGGTATTGAAATTACAAGATCTGCCTTCTTACGTAATTTCTTTTTTTCTACTGTTACCGTTTCTTTATTATTCTTTTCAGTTGGTACTTTTGTTAATGTAATATTATCTTCTTTATTGTTGATAAGTTTGTTATCGCTGAGAGGACTTTTCGCGATCGTTCTCCTCTTTTCGGGAAAACTCGTAATCGTCGTGGTCGTCGTAGTCACTGTCGTCGTCGTCGTAGTAGTCACCATCGCTGCCGTGATATTACTGGATAAGTATGCCGGAGTGCTGGGTGCAACGCTTATTTTAAGATCACTTCCTTTTTCCTTATTGTCCGGTTGCTTTTTTATTGACGACGTTGACGAAGATGATACTGATGATGCTGACGATGAAGAAGACATTTTTGATTCAACTTTGGGATCATTGACAGATTGTATTCGTTTCTCTGTTTCGTTACTTTTGATTTCGCTCCAAAAATCGATCGATTCGTTTGACTCGCTTTTCAACACGCCATCCATCATCATTTTATCGTTAATTGGCGTGTTAATTAATTTGTCGTTAGTATCCGTGATAGTTTTAGCACTTTGTTTTATTACCAAGGATGGTCCTTTAGCCAACACACCATTCTGGAACGCAGCACCAGTTTTGTTAGTATGGGTCGAATCCGTTGGCATGTTCCGCGATAAAACGGTCGTCGTCTTCGTCATCGTAGTCGTCGTAGTCGTCGTCGTCGTCGTCGTCGTCGTCGTCGTGCCGTCGACCTCTTTCGTATCCCCCCCCGCCAGTATCGCAGATTTCAAAGTGCTCATGTTCTTCAATTTACTCGTATCTTCCGTCTTTATTAAATCGTCCTTCTTCTTATTATTCAAGTTCGAGTCCTTATTCTTCGCATTGAATTTCGTTACACGAATCTCACCGTCCTTGGACTTGGCAATCACCGAATCAATTGCGTTCGATTTCGTTGCAACTGTTAAGTTTGCCTCATCAATTTTCTTCCCACGAGGAATCCTCTTCAAGGTTTCCTCTTTATCTATCGTATTTTTCGCTAATGACGCAGCTGTGTCCTCGAGATTCTCAATTTTTGGTAGATTTGCCAGGTACTCCGGTGCTCGTAACGAAAGCTCTGGCGCTTCTACGGCATTATTTTCATCCGTATTAATTTTAGACGGTTTTGGCAGCCGAGAAGAGTTCGGTGTAAGTACTGACGACACCGCGGCGCTGTTTTCACCCGTATCATTACGTCCAACAGGAATCCCTTTATTATTTATCGATGAATTATTACTTTCTATTTTATTCGATATTTTCTTTTCCTTAGGTTCGATACCTGACAAGACAATATCTTTTTTCGTATCTTCCTTTATCTTCTCATTGTCAATGTTGATCTCTTTATTAATTAATGATTTACATTCGTCCATTTTATCAAGGATTTTTGTACTCTTTCTATCATCTATTTTTTCTTTCAATGTCTCTGAGCTTTTATCGATCGCTGTAATCGATTTCTCTTTTTCCGAACTATCTATTTTAATCGTTTCGATGTTACACTCATTAGATGTCGCGGTATCCTTTTTATTTTTCTTCAAAGGTACATCGTCCTTTAAATTCGTTTTATTTTTATCAAGTTTCGTTTCTACCTTGTTTTTAGACACGTCGTTAAATTTCGATGATTTATTTAACGTAGAATTATTCTCGTCGTTAGTTTCATTACCAATTTCTAAAACTTTTTGTAAAGTATCCCTTACTCGTAATTTCAATAAATCTTTTTTCGAAAGTGCATCGACACCATTAGTCATTTTTCGTGGAATGGAAACGTCAACGTTCTTAACTTCTTCATCCTTTTTCTTTTCTTTATCGTATGTTTTTAATGTAAGATATACGCTATTCCTCGATGTATCTTTGATATAAGGTTTACGAACTGGCAATACGATTTTAGTTTCAGTTTCATCGACGGTACCATTTTCTGGTACCGTGGCAACGCCCCCAGTTTGTTTAACGTTAGCCAAAGCTTTTCTGGGAACAGGAATCCTAATGCTTTCTCTGAATTGTTCGACATTTGCTTTTACCTCTGTATTTTCCGAATTCCCTGTGTTAATCAGAATTGTCGACAAATCACCAACACTGTTGGAAGCTTCGATTTTATACATCATTGACTTTTCAGGTTTATTATTTGTCACCTGATTTTCATCATTCTTTTCATCATCTACGTTAGATGTTTCCTTAGAACTAATACTACTACTAGATCGTTTCATTTCAATCGTTTCATCATCTTCTTCTTCTTTCTTTTCTTCATCCTCAGTAGGTGATGGTTTTTCCATAACCTTTTTCTTCTTTTTAATCTTTTTAAAAGTTTTCTTAACTTTAGATGCAGTCTCATTTTCTTCATCCTTAGTTGATTCAACAGATTCTTCACTGTCGTCGAAAAAAGATGAAATTGGTCTAGGAGGACCTCTGGTAATAACACCTTTCCTGATCAAAGTACCTCTACGAACTTCATCCTCAATCTCAGCTTGTTCCTCAGCTACCAAATTATCCAAAACCTTAGCTTGTACCTGAGCATAAGCAACTTCACGTTGAATTTGTTCCGCATCTAATTGAATATCGGTCGATGATCTTCTTCTTGTCATCCTTCGTGTTATCCTTCCTTGCAACGATTGAATATCCTGCGTATTGTTACCTCGATCAAGACTAACCTGATGATAAAGTCTCGTACGAGTTTCTTCATCCTCAGAGGAACCCTTTTTATCTTTTATCAAGAATTTTTCCACCAATAATTCACCTACGCTTTTCTCATGTTTCTCATTGTGCTCTCGCAATGCCGGATTATCCTTCAAAGCTTGCGATCTTATTTTAATCGTTGGCCTATCCCTACGAAGCCGATTTCCTCTTTGCCGATTTTCGTCCCTCGACGATAATGTTCTCGGTGTTGATACATCGATATCTGCAGTATCGATTACTCGTCTCACTCGAGTTGTCGCTGTTGTCACCGGTGAATATCGTCGTAAATTGCTCAACGATGATTCCGTGATCGTCGACAGATGTGGTGCGAATCTTGTTGAAGACAGCGGATTGTGGAAACTTCTGTATTAATTTATTCATTATTGTTACTCTAACGAACACCATTTTTATCATTTTTTTTGCGGGAGGGGAGTTTTAACATCAGATATACCATACCAGTCATTTTGACTAGTTGGGCGCCATTTTAATTGAAAATTTCTACTTCATGTAACATTTGATTACTATAAATAATTATAAAATGAATTTATAAACATTTATCTATTAAAATGATTATTGTCTAAACATTTGTTGTTATTTTTTAAGAATAAATGAAGACTGGAAGATTCAAAAAGGATTTTTTTTGTATACCACACCAGTCATTTTGACTAGTGTGGTATACAGAAAATGGCGGTATATCTAATTATTATAATACGCTAATTAATATACGTTCTTCTTAATGAATAATTTGTAATTTTGTTTGTTTGTTTGTTATAAATTAATTACATAACTTGTAAACAAATGTGTAAATTAATCTTTGGCAGGTATATACGAGATTAGAAAAAAATTTCTTTGTTATTTTCTAATATATTTATAGAAATGGAGAGTTGAAAATTGCCAGTTACTACGATTAAAAATAAACGTAAGAAGAATACACATTGAGTTATGTAAATTGTCTCTGTTCCATTTTTATATTGAAAAATATAATTTAAGAAGAAATAGGGTAATGATAGGAGGATAATACAAATTGGATCGTTCACATGTGACTGTCAAGCATCAATTGATGATCACAGCCCTTCGATCAGCCGTGTACAACTTCTCAATGCCAAACGTTTATTTTTATACCACGTTACGTTATAGGACAACAGTGTTTCACGAACACTTGTTGGGTACACGTGAAGATACAAAAACTTCCGATTTGGCACACTACCCAATCGATACGATGTTGTAAATCAATTAATGAATCGATTGAAACAATGCTATTGGATAATGACGAATGAACTTACGAAATAATACGTAGTACGTTAACTTCTTTTGTATATGTATTAACAAAATATATAAATCAATCAAACCAATTCATAAACATCGATGAAATATAAATCAATTTTCTTTTTTTTTGTGTTGTGTTGTGTGTGTGTGTATCGACATTGATCATCTTTTAGTCAATATTTTTTTTTTATACTAAATGTAATTTTAGAATAAAGAAAATATTCTCAAATAAAACACACACACACATACACACACAAAATGAACAAACGTGAATGTATTTTGTTCGAAAGAAAAATATAAAAAAAAAAATAAAACATCGTTGTGAGCGTCATACCGAGTCCTAAGAAAAAACGGTGGTGGCTTGCAAGCAAAAAAATAAAAAAATAAAAAATACGGCAAAAATAAAATGCAACGTCGAATAATGTGATAAACTTAAAAGAAACATTTCTCGTAAAAATACAAAAGAAAAATTCAAAATGATAAATATATATTTTTCTATTTTTTTTTTTAGTAATATTTTGTATTATTTTGATAAAAATGGTCAGAGTGGTAAATTAATAAAAAAAAAAAATATGTTGGCAATTAGAAAGAGATTATATTCTTATGCTTACCGTGGTATTCCAGTCATAAGAGAACTATGGTTAGAAAATGCTCCTCCATAATAATATGGTGTAGTATCGCCGTAGTACGGCATTTTGACCACGTCTTTCTAATAATTTATGTTACTATTAATTCAATTGAATGAACAAAGAAAATAATAATGTCCCTGGTTAAGGACAAAGTATAAGAAAGGAGAACGTATAACAAACGAACAACGACGAGCCGGTTCGAAAGAAGACTGAACGCGTTATGCGAGGTTCTTGCCGGCTCAGGTGTACAACGACGAGGCGTTCGTTCTCACGGCTTGCGATGCCAAGACCGACTGATGTGAGTTTAAACCAGCGACCCAGTGTAATAATAGATTCCTAGTATGAGCCTTCCTACAGTCTAACTATATTATACCTAGACTCAGACAACTTCGTACATACAAACATTACTTTTACTAATAATTACAATATTTCAATACAACGATGAATACGTTTAAATGCGCGTATTATTCACACGCGCACATACATACATCCTTCTATATAATATTTATTAATAACTTTTTCAATAATTACGAGATTAAACAAAGACGCAACTAATATATATATAAATAATTGCAGATTATGATTAATTAAATATAATTAAATTTATATGAAGAACATTCGTTATAAATACATTTTGAAATAAATGTTTGATCATCAATTGAATGAGTTTTATTACCAAATACGAAACGCCATATTGGTTCTTTTTCTTCGTATTTATTTTTTTACTTTATATAATGTATCGTCATCATTTATGCAGTTATATATGTAATTATATTTGATGTTACCAGAGTCATTTATTTAATACATGATTTCAAAATCATATTCTTACTCATATAATAGGTTAAACACAAGGTGCACCGAAATTATGACAAAATATCTTTGCTCCTTTTTTATACTTACCATCGCATTTTAATCCTTGACGAAAAAATCCATATAACATGGAACCACAATGATCGCAAAATGTTGGTGACATGAAAGTATAGGGTCGAAATCTGTGAGGAACGTCCACTTTAAAACGTTGCCTCAAGTACTATCGTTAAAAGAAATACAAAATCGTCATATTTATTATTACGATCGTTTGAAAAAAAAAAAAAAAAAAACAAATCATGAGAAATATTCCAATATTTAATTCCTCTGAAATTTAAACATTAAAAGAACAAAATTTGATTAACATTTTATACTTACTATAGTATTTTCTGACTCTCTACCACTTTCCGGACATTTTGTTAACAACTTGTCATGACATTTCTTATGTACAGCGGTTTGGCAAGCTAAAATATAATGAAACAATAATAAAAATGAGGTAAGAAAATGCGGAGCGACAAAAATAAATTAAAGCGTAAAATTTACCTTGGCATTGGTAACCCTGCTTTCCGAAACCCCTAAAAAAAATATACAAACGAAAAAAATCTATCAATAATAATTAATCATAATATTTGTAATGATTGTTTGATTGAAATAATGTATGTATTAAATAAAATGTGAAAATTTTATTGACTCCGTGTATCAAAGAATCTCATTTACGGAATAATAATTTCGTCAGAGAAATTGGCACTTAAAGAGACGCGTTTTGCAAGCAATAAATTTCAATTTGCCGAAATGATGTTTAGCCGTGTGCAGTTGTTTAAATACATTTATATGATATATCTATAATTAGGAAATAAACATACCAAAGGAAATCCTTACAAAAGGCACAAAATGTCGGTTGTCGAAAAAACTTAGCAACTAATTTGTGACCTCGTACAATGTGTACTTTGTTGTGTTTGACAGCACCCCTTCTTCCCGTTATCGCGTGGCCTACGTTGGTCTCTAATAAAGGTATCTGCGATGAACTAAGAAAATCCCTTCGTGGTACCCTTGTCCTATACACATAAGTTCTAGGAGTTGATATCGTTGGTGGTAAATCCTCGAGTTTTACAGGAACTGGTACCCTTGTTCTAAAACAATCAATATTTTATTGTTAAATAAATTTGATGTGACGTATTACTTAAAGATACATTAGAAAATAAGATTGACAAAAAAATAACAAAAAAAAATGATTTTATTTTCCATGATTCACCTGTATGCGTATCCTTCTACCGCAAGTCGTGGTCTAGGACTTTTGTGCTCCAAAGAAGTTCTCTTTCCAAATCTTCCTCCTATGCCACAACTACTACCACCACCACCACCACCACTACCACTAGCACTGCCACCACCGCTACCGCTACCACCACTACTACTACTAACTTCACCGTCACCGCCACCACCACCACCACCACCACCACCGCCGCCAGCATTCCTTCTTTTCGCGTGACAACCACCACGTGTGAACATCATAATTCACTAATTGATTTTATACAACTTTATTTGTTTATTTACAACTCTTTCACGGATATTGCTTAACTTTTCACGAATTTTTCTATTCAACGTTTCAATATACAAATTCAACTCTATAAACTATAAGATAGATTATGATTATAATCTCAATATTTAGAAATTACAAAAATATTTCACAAAAATCATGTCCTCAATATTTTTAATAAAATCTATTCCTTTTTATATATATATATATATAAAAGAGATCGAGTTTATCAATTAGAAAATTAAATGCGAATGATAAACTTCACACAAGTTTTACCAATGAAGACTAATAATAATAAGCAAATATGTAAAATCTAACAAAATGAATTTCAATGATTGATCGATGTTTTTTCATCCTTCCACTAATCTTTACTTGTATTAATATGAGTTTCTTTTTTTAAACTACTTATATATTCATCATCTTCCTTCCATAAATACGCGAATACGAGAAGGAAGGAGGAATTCGCGTTACACTTTGAACGATATTCCATAATAAGAGCGCATACATTTGTTACAAAATATACACCCATCATTTGATAATTTATCTTTCCATTATTAATTGGTTTTCATTTTTTTTTTCTTTTTTTTTTTTTATAATGTTTACTTACCAGTAGAAAATAAAGATATTATTTTAACAGTGTTTTTTTTTTTATTTTTTTTTTTTAATTTTTTTTCTTCTCGTTCGATCGACATCTTATTTCGCGTTCGCGCCGATTTAAAGTCGACATTTGATTTAACGTAGGTTAATCCTTTTCGATATAAAAATCGATATTAATATGATGGCCATTGGTATTAAATTAAAATCATAGAAAATATCCAAATATATTAATAACACATGCAAGCATTGATTGTTGCAGGAACTAAGTTTTGACGCTTAAAGCTTTCGTAGGTTCCTACGAAACTCAGGATTTCTATAAATATCGGCGCCTTGAATACCGCCCGCCATAACGTCCACTCTATAGCGCTATCTGTACCACTTGCTATCCGAGATAATCGATTAATTTCTAAAGCGCTAAATTTAAATATTTATATATATATATATATATATATTTCTTCAATTTCTTTCTTTTCATTCAAGTTAATATTAATTAATATTAAAGATTGTTATTTAAAATTAAGAGTGTCTATATACAATCATTCGATATTACAAATGATAAATAATGTAAGTAAAAAAGTTTAAACATGAATATCAATAATTAAGTAGTAAATTTTATTACTCATTGCGAAATTATTAAAGAATTGTTATTCATAATCGGAAAAAAAAAGACAGCAATGCGTTTTTAATATAATATCATCAAGCATTAGAACAATTCGATAAGTTCAAAATTACAAAAGCCGTGGTTACTTCATTATTTGTTTATTTTCTTTATGATTTAATAATACTGCTCTTTTGTTTTTTTTTTTTTTATTTGCAGTATTTTTTAAGTATTTCAAAAAACGTATAGAACATATGAAAGATACGTGCGATTCTGTCTTTTACCTGCCGATTAAGATTTTTATTTACATTTGAGATAAAATATGTACTGCAATTGTAATAAGAATACATTACTATTCGTACAATATTTCAATGAATTAATTATCATACGACTCCACTCATATGCTACCATAATAATAGAGCATAGTTATTATAATTAAATTTCTTATTATATATAAAAAATAATGTTTTTTGTACGAACATAAAATTTTGTTTATACTATTTTCTGAATAGAAAGTAAAAGAAAAAAAAAAAAAAAAGAAACAAATTACATAACTTGTGTTTTTTTTTTTTTGCTTTTTTTTTATACACATTTTGATTTTTATATATATATATGTATATATATAATAACATACTTCAAATGTGTTTAACCTAAGTAGTTGAAATATTATTTTCCAACTAATCTCGGATTCCAAAGTAAAAGAAAATTAATTGGGAATGATCCAACGTACATTTCTTTTTAGCGATAAAGACGTAAATTTTAAAAATTCATGAAAAATGAAAAATGCCAAACACAGTATTCGTTTACAAATAGCTGTGCGATTATCAAGAAATGTGCATCTTCCAAAAGGAAGGCACAGATCATAGCTTTTAAACACGCGTGCTGTATAGGACCTAATGTTTCAATGAATTTGAGCCTTTATACCCGTTAGTGTGATCTCTCTTTTTTTTTTCTTTTTTTTTTTTTTTTTTTTACAAGTTAATTGTATAGGGGTAACACTTTATTGATACAATCGATCAACCGTCAGTGTTGTTCAGTTGCGCGTTTCTTAGGTTGCCGTTCTTGAGCACGCTTAATTCTTTGTAGCAATAAAGTATGTAACAGTTCAATTTCTTTGGGTATTGCTTGAACAATAAAAATTCTTATGTCTCCGTGTACATCCATTGCAGTAAGTCTCAATGATTTTGGAGATGCTCGTTCCGCGGTCATGCCAGGCCAAACTTTAGTATTGAGAATCAATCGTTGTGTTCCAACCGTACGTCCTACCAAACGTGACTCCTCATCTCTATCATTTAATCGAAGAGTTCCTCTACCTCTTTCTTGCCAACTACTGGAAGCCTGAAATAAAGAAGACAAATTTGTAATAATATTACTTTTTTATAATAACTATCATTTATAAGTTATACAATTGTATTTATCATATATACCTTATCAAAAGCAAAGAGTTTACAATTTATCTGAAGAACATTTGTCTCTCCTTCTTCTCCAGTTAACAACGTTACTTCATTATATTTTCTTTTATTTGCTCGACTTGCTTCTTCAAGTTCTTGTGCTGCCTGTGATAATGTTAAACCAGGACGACTAGCTGAACGACAAACAGTTGCTGCATTTGAGAAAAGTAATTCTGAAGAACCGTTTTCATTAGTTTCCTCTTTCTTGGTTTCTTCTTTCTCTACTTTCTCAGTTTCTTCTACATCATTGGCAACAGTTACTCTTTCTTTTAAATTTTGACCAAATATGAAACTAGGCTCTGAAGCACTAGGTTCAACTGTATTATTTACATTATTCTCGTTATCTTTTGTGTTTCCACATAATGGTAAAAATTTGGGTACTATTTCTTCAGTTTGTTTTTCTTCAGCTTGTTTTTTTTCAGTTTTAGTTTCTTTCGTTTCATTTATATCGTTTTCCGTTGTTGAATTATTATCATTAGTTATAGGTTCATCAGTTGACTTTGTTAATACATTATTTAGTTTTGGAGATTGTAATATTGTAGTTTTATTTGTAGACGACGACGTATTATTCGCAACTGAACCTAATTGCGAAGGCCTTAATATTGTTGATCTTGGCTTACTGGAAAATTCATTAACTCCAAATGAATTTCCAAATTTCGAAGCTTTTAATACAGGACCTAAAGACATATGACATTCATATAAATATAAAAATAAAAGAAATATTTAATCAAATCTAACCAATAAAGAGAAATTACATTTCATATGTGTGGATAACAAGTTATATCAAAATGTTGATAATACATATATAATAATATAAAATAATGTAATACATATATCCTAATTTAACTTTAAGTTTTAATTGAATTTTAATTGTTATTTTCGTGTAATTATTTTTAACTTACAATGTATTTTAATAGTCGGTTTGGTAGTGGTGGTGGTAGCTGCAGATTCCTCTGTATTGTTTTCTACAGACTGGCCTTCCATATTTTCTGCAATATTTCAATAAAACACAAATTATTTACCATTTAAAAATATAATTATTTCATTGTAAGAACTTCAATTTTTGTATACAATGCTTCTATGTAAACTTTCCACAAAATTAATCATCATTGCAACTTGACCAACAAAGCAACCTGATTCATATTAAAAAATCTTCATGCAATTATTTAATGCAACAAAAAGAAATTCATTTGAAATAAGTAATATTACTTATTTATTATATTATTTTATAGATTGGCATATGTAAGAAGGATAATTAAGAGAATTTATAAAAAGAAATTTACCACTAAGCTGCCTAGTATTACTTGATACGTTATCACTATAGAGAATATAGCAACTTTGTAAAGTCTTTCCACTACATCAATTTATAGACACAATATATATATAGATATATATATTACACTATTGAAATATTTAATATAATCATATACACATTAGCTGCATAGTACAAACTTAATATCAAACACGAAGGCTTAATGCAACCTTACACTCCGCCATGTTTCACATACAAATGGAAAGTATATTGATGAGGCCATCTATATGCATATGGGCGAATTTTAATTTAAAATATGTTTACAACAATTCAACTGTATGCGAACAAAATATAATTATAATTAAATATTATCGTTAGGAATAATTTAAAAAAAAAATATATATATATATATATATACATATATTATAGTATATAAATCTTTTGAAATAATTACACACAATTCTTAAACCCACCTGAAGATTACATCAAATTGAAAATAATTTTGATTTACATTTTATGATAAATATTTTTCAAATTTTATAAAAAATAATCATTTTAATCATTTTTATTAATATATAAATTAATTTTATTTAATATTTTAACTTCGAAAGAAAATAATGATCAAATTAAAATGTAGAGAATTTGACTAGGAATTATACGAGGCAAAAAGGATAAAATTTGAATGCAAATAAGAGCAAAGAAAGATTGTAAATGATTTAGCAAAAAAATTAAAATGATATACAAAATAAAAAGATAATAATTATATAAATAATTTTATATTCTTTCTTTTGAAATACTTATTTTATACGATTAAGTATAATTTTTGTATATAAATTTATTAAAACATTATTGATGTTTTTAGATTTATCTTATTGAGAGTTTTGACGAAAATAACACAGGTGGTGCTGATAGTCTTGTAAACGGAAATCATCAGAAAGCATCTAACATATGGTACCGCAAGTAGAATAAATGGTAGTATTTCTTCTAAGTCGATTCTTTTAGATTGAAGAGAAAGTTAAAGAGTGGTAGTAATCCAACTGGAAATTTCAGATAAGAATTAAAAATCATGTCGCATCAAACGGGTATAAAAGGTAATTATAATGTCAAGTGTTTTAAACAACATATGATATTTGAAGGAAGTTAGAAAATTGCATTGAGATATATAAAATGATTTAACCTTAGTTTTATAGCTTAATGAATACATCCTTCAATGATTATTTCTATCTCTCTTTCTCTTTGTAGCAAACGATGCATTGAAAAAAATGTTTTCCAAGTGCAGAGATGGAAAAATACGTGTATTAAAGGTGTCTATAGAAAATGGTATGTACAATATCATTTCATATCTCTTTTTTCAACTATAATTATATAATATTTATTTTTCATTTATTATTATGGTAAATGTATTTATGAGATTTTATCTTTTTCAAGTATTGTGATAAAAGTCTTAATTATTATCATGATGTAAAAATTGATATATGATATAAATAATCCAAACTGTAAAGTAGTTATATATTCAATGTAGATAATATTTTTGACATGTATTATATCAATTTGTAAATTAATGTTATTTTTATAGAAGAATTAGTTCCTGCAACTTTTAGTAAACCATCGAATAAATGGCACGAGGATTATGATAAAATGATAAAGCCTTTAATTCTTGAAAATCAACCTGCATATATCCTTTATCGGCTTGATACAAAATCTACTGATTCTGGTTACGATTGGTTGTTTATATCTTGGTCACCTGATACTGCTCCAGTAAGACAAAAAATGTTATATGCATCGACGAAAGCTACTTTGAAACAAGAATTTGGTACATCTTGCATTAAAGAAGAATTGCATGGAACTGTTCCCGAAGACATTACATTGGAAGGATATCACAAACATAAAAAAAATAATGCAGCTCCAGCACCTTTAACTACAGCAGAAGAAGAATTAGCTGAATTAAAAAAGACTACCGTTAATACTGATTACAGCATTGAAACAAGGCATCAAACATTGAGTGGCGTTGCATTTCCTGTTACGGATGAAGCTAAAAAAGCAATTACAGAATTTGGCGAAGGCATGCACGAATATGTTCAATTGAAAATTGATATAGAAGAAGAAAAAATTCATTTGGTTACAGCTGGCGATGTTTCATTGGATAAATTACCTACCAAAGTTCCATCTGATTCTGCCAGATATCATCTTTACAATTTTAAACATACGAATGAAGGAGATTATATGGAATGTATAGGTTAGTTATATTTATTCATTCATAAATTTATTGTATTATAAATAATATATTCGTAAAATTAAAATCAATGTATTTTTTGATCAGTTTTCATATATAGCATGCCGGGATATAGTTGCAGTATCAAAGAAAGAATGTTGTATTCTTCCTGTAAAGCTCCACTACTTGATCTTATTCAATCTCTAGGAGTGACTATAACAAAAAAGGTTAGTAATTGAGAATATTATTTCAAATACTAATGGTGGTATTCTGATCATTTCTGTTAGTGTTATTTTAATTGTCGTTTTTTGATTTATTCTATGGAATATTTAAAAATAATAGAATCACAAATTTCAATACAAGAGATACTCAGAATACCATGTTGCTTTGTACATAAAGTAAATTAATTTTATTAATTAATAGAAAATAAAAAACGTAACATATAACAGTTATATTTTTTAAGAAGAAAATTTGACTATGTATGTTATTTGTAAATAAGACTATTGTAAAGTGGTTCTAGTTTATATATAATTAGAATGAAGATGATTATAAAAAAAAATAAAAAAAAAAAAGGAATAGTACAACATAATGAATGGAATGAAATAATTTTAAAACAAATATGATATTGGTACTAGTTGGAAGTAAATAGTGGCGAGGAGTTGGCAGATATGTTGGAAGATCCTCCGATCATTAAAGAAACAACTACGATAACGCCTGCAACTCCGTCAACACCTTGTGCGCCTACTCAATCGATGCCAGAGAAAAAGTCGAAACAGAAGAGATCGTGTGTTTTAAGTTAACTGATTTATAGGGCCGTTTACTTGCCAATCGTGTATATGCTTTACATGATCAGAAATGATTGTGATGCTCAGCGTATAACAGTTTCGTTTATAAATTCTGAATTTGTGATAGCATAACATTGACGTTGAATAATACATTATTAAAATTATTATATAATATAATACAAATTCACAATATGTCATAGCGAATTATAAGATCATATATATTCTACATATTTGGGGAAGTTTTATCATTTAATGGTGTTTATCAACGTTTAATAATTAATTGATGATCATCGTGATATATATAATTATGTAGAAAAACAGAGTAGACTAAACTATGTATTTTTCTAAATTTTAAAAGGATATTATTGTATCAATACTCGTCAAAATTATATATAATAAGTATGACCCACTCCAGTGATGGGAGGAGGAGGAGTGACGTTAGTGAATTGTTTTTAATTCACAATGAAAGATTTTTAAATGAGTAGAATCTTTTTAAAGAAATTAACAATGTTTTTAGATTAAATGAATAATAACGTGAAAATGACGTGATGGTAAAGACATATATATATATATATTTACATGTATATATAATGTATTGGAATATGAATAGTAGTATATATTAATGTATGATGGTTCAGTAGTTCACATTTTAGTGGAACTTTCAAAACTTATCCATCATACAAAATTGAAATAATATTTAAGAAACATTTCGATTGCATAATGGTTATTTTGCTCTTGTTAATCTTGTACAAGGCTGTACATTAATATCCCATCACTAGGAGAACCAATGATGACAAAATTTCATGACGTAAAATTCTTGTTGAATTTATGAAGGGTGTATGAATTATCATTCATTTAATATTACATCATATATTTAAATATGACTGCTTAATGTGGTTTAATGTTGTTGAAAGTTAAGCCTTCAATGAAATATTCAATAATTAATATTTCAATTCAAACATTTTGAGATTAAATGAAGTATAATTGTTTCATTACAAAAACAAAAAAAAATTGCAATGTAATATTTAAGATATTGGTATATAAGATTTGAATTGAATGCAATAAGACATTAACTCTTAATAGTTCCTTTAATAGTGATTTTATCTTTATGTTCTATATATTTTATACATTATTATTATTATTATTATTATTATTATTATTATTATTATTATTATTACTACTATTATTATTAATACTATAATTATTATTAGTAATATTTAAGATATTGGTATATAAGATTTGAATTGAATGCAATAAGACATTAACTCTTAATAGTTCCTTTAATAGTGATTTTATCTTTATGTTNAAAACAAAAAAAAATTGCAATGTAATATTTAAGATATTGGTATATAAGATTTGAATTGAATGCAATAAGACATTAACTCTTAATAGTTCCTTTAACGAAAAATGTTCAGCCTATATTTTTATTTTTTTTTAAGACCATGTCGAAAAATAAAAACACATCCCATGTATATCATTATTTTATACATTATTATTATTATTATTATTATTATTATTATTATTATTATTATTATTACTACTATTATTATTAATACTATAATTATTATTATTATTATTATTAATATTATTATTACTATATATTTTTAGAAAATGTGAAATTCCAGCACATCAAGTCTTGATTTGTTCCTAGTCTTAAAAATGGTGATATGTATGTGTATTTACTACATATATACATACAGATATATAAGTCTTCTTTTTCTTTTTTTTTTGTTTTTTTTTCTTTTAATTTTATTATTATAAATTTAATTTTTTTATCAATGGAATTTTAAGGCTTGGCTTTCAAATTCATTAAAACTTCCATATAAATAGATTTTAGTGAAATATGTTATCACGATTTTTTTGTAAATGTTTTTTAGTAATCTATATATATCATATATATGATTATAAGAGAAAGTTAGTGAGTAAATTTCCAATTGCTCCTGTTAAAAAAAAAAAATGTTACAGAAATAATTTCTCTGTGTCTTTTGAGCATAGTAATAGTAAAAAAAAAAAAAGAAAAAAAAAATGAACAGCTTCGTAAATTAATAATGACGACATATATTGTTAATACAAATTTCTTTACAAATTATTATCACACATACATACAATGTTAACATATATTATATGCTCTAATATTTCTAAACGACACACAGAACATTAAACTCCATAAAATACATGTAAAACATAAGACTGATATTAGCATGTCTCACCAGCTGTGTTGCTGAAATTAATATTTTAACTATTACATTTTACATTTTGTGCTTTTAAAATCTAATTATACATAATATTATTGTCTATTATTTGGGCAATCAATTTAATTTTTTAATAATGTTACATCTGTTATTATAAACATAAAACGTACAAATTGCAATTATGCATCTATAATATAAAAATATGCACAATGTATTTTTATTATCTAAACTACAAAAGAGATTGAAACATTAGCATACATATATAATATTTTTTGTGTGTGTATCCATTTGTAGAATTAGTTATATCAAAATAAAGTGGATACATAATTTTCTTTTATATATATATATATATCATTATAATATGAGCCTATTATTAATATTTACTATAGATCTGCATTGATTACAAATGTTCTGTTATCTTTTTTTTTTATTCTATGTATTATGCTAATGAATATTTTATCATTTAACTCGACGACGAAAATAAAAAAGAAGAAGAAGAAAGAAAAAAAATTGGTATTTTATATTATAATTAGTATGTAGTCAAATATATACAAAATTTGATATATATACTATATTTTTAAGGAATCTCCACAAATGTTATTATAAATACATAATACACAATGTACAGCTGGTGTGACTGTAATCTCATAGACAGTTACAAAATATTCCAAGAGTCATTCTATTTTTTGTGATCTGTATTTTTTTATCTCTTGTAGCTTTTTATATAAAACGTCTTAACAATTTTTCTGTCTATAAGGTATAAGCAAAGTGGCTGTAATAATAATTTGGCCAACAACATTTTCGTGTTCATAAATTATTAAATGAATGAGTCAAATTCTTTCAATTTCCTTTCTTTTTTTTTCTTTGTTTTTTTTTGGATAATTAAGTGAAAAATAAAAAGTGGAATTTGTATCATAGAGATAAGATTACATAAGTAATAATCAATGTGCTGTGTCATTCGCATTCCAGAGGATATAATGAAAAAGAATTTGACTCATAGACATTTTTAATTTAACAAAATTGATAGCGAGTAAATCAATGCTTGTATTAAGCCTCTGAACAAGTGATATATGTATATTTTATTTTAGATCATTTTACAATAATGCGCACCTTTGCCTGGATATATATATATATATATATAATAATAATTTTATTATTAACATTACTATATACCAGGCCTATTCTGTAAGTTTTTAATATTATTATTTTTTCATTATTTCAAATACATTATAACTATAGGTTCTTCATGATAAAATAGACTATAATATCTTGCCAATATTACATATGGTACAGAAATAAAGTAACATACAATATAAAATCTACAGTTTAATATTTCAATTGTTTTGTTTTTTTTTTCCAAATATTTATACTATACTGGATTTCTAACAACCACAACCTGATGCATCTTCAAACCGGTATGTAGTTAGTATTATTAAGATTTGAAAGAGAAACGCGTATATATATATATATAATTCCGCTTACAGAATAGGCCAACTTAATATTCATTAAAAATTTCATTATCCATTATATTCATCATATAATGGATGTATTTGTTTTGTTATAATCTTATACAATAATATTATTTTTAAATGTTACTTTATGTAGCTTTCGATAGATGATGGAAAGGAACTAACTGAAGGATTTTTGCAAGAGGAATTACATCCAAAAGTCAATTTACATCGTCCAAAATTTGCCAAACCAAAGGGACCACCAAACAGAGGTGCCAAACGTATTACCAAGGTACAGGAATTAGGTACCTTAGATCAAGATACTTGAATAAATCAATAACACGTTAAGTTTTGTATTAAATATAAGCAGGGTCTTTAGAGAATGGTAGTAGTAATTAAAAATATAAGATTATATTAGTATTAAAAGAAGTATTCGCAAACATTGAACGTTGCATAGAAGAAATATGAAGATTAAATGATGATGATGATGATGATGATGATGCCTATACGAATATCATATTAATCTATATTTTGTCAAAAGAAACAAGATTTTTCTTTAGAATTTTGTTTGTTTATAATATCGTATTATTTGATCAACAAGCCTATTCTGTAAGTTGTGATGATGTTCGTCGAGTTTAAATATTCTATTTATTTATTTCGAAATTATATAATAATACATTATTGTATACAATAATAATATTATTGTTTTATTATTAATTTGATTATTAAGTGAATTATGAAATTTATTTAACAGAGTATATATTGATTTTATTAAATATTAAATATAAAATAAAGGATTTATCACGATCCAGTATTACGATTTATTCAACCAATTATTAGGTTTGCACATTAAAGAGTTGAATATTTTGTATATACTGCAATATATAGTAAATTCAGATATTCTAAATGATGATTGATGTATGAGAAATTGAAAAATATTGTTACATTATATTTACATAATATATTCTATAATATATATTCACACAATACAATCTTTATTTATCTACTTCTTTATTATTTATTTCAGCAGAAGATAACATTGCTTGATTTGCTTTATTTGCTTCGTAAAGCTCCTTTACTTGTCCATGTTCTTCTTCTAAACGTTTGCCCATTGCTTGTTTAAAGGCCCTTTAATGTAAAATTATATAAATGATATAATATTTGAACATTAATATTCATAAGAAAATTTTATTGGACATTTTAATTGAGTAAATACTTACTCATCCCTTTTATAAGCCCAATAATATTGTATACGTTCAAAATCATCCTTTGACATTCCTGTTATCTTAATAAACATTATACTAAAAAGACCACCAATAGCTCCAAGAATAGTACCAACAACCAGACCAACTAATGAACCTTTGACACCAAGTGATAACTTAAATAAAAATCCAGCAGTACCAGCTCCAATCATGTAATGTAAAACTGAAGGTTCCCCATAATATGCAGTCAACAATACTCGAATGGTTCTGAAATATATTTGTTAATAATTCTTATTAACTTAAACATATGAAATATCAAAGAGATAAATCTTGAATGAAATCTATTCTTAATCTTACTCATAAATTCCACAAAATACACATAATCTCCAGCCAAATTTAAAAGCACCCTTGCCAAATGCTAATATAACTTTGTCTTGTAAATATCGTCTTGCATCATGTTGAGTATAGAAACGTGTTGCTTCATTATTATCTATAAATTGCTGTGCAACTCCTCGTGAATGAGCCACACCACCCACCATCATACCAATAAACGTTGCAGTACTTGTGAAATTAATGAAATGTTGAATTTCTTTGCTTATAGGTTGATATTCGCTAAATATATAAATAATCAATTTGAATAATTTATTGTCTCTCAATTGATCTTTGTCAATAATTTTGAAAAAAAGAAAAATGTTCCAAATCTTACGTAGAAACAAATATTTTTCTTATCCTTCCCATAGGAGTATTTTCTATATTTTCAGCAACCGGATTTTTAGGTACATCATACTGTCCCAAAAATTCTTTAATTGGATATACAGCCATGTATAAAGGTCTACTTAATTTTCTAACGTTCAACATTTTGTTGCTCTTGGAAATTTCTTATCCTATTTACAAGAATTACATAAATTAAAGGTTAGTAAAGTTTGTATTGAATAGCACTGAATTTTATTTTATTTGTCGTAATATAAATTTTAATACTACACAGATCAAATTATGTAAACATACTTACAGTATAACTTTAAACAATATTAGAATGAAATATACATGTTACAATAATCACGTTAAATTTTAAGAAGCATAAATAATTGATAACCTATTATATTTTTAAATACATCATTAATTAATATTATGGCAAGTAGTAGAATAAATAGCTTTGTATATAACTATTTGACAAATTGATATTTACTTATTAATTATTTATTGTCAAACAATATTAAATAATAGAAAATATAATTATTACTTCAGAAATTTAAATACCACAATTTCTATACTACTTGCTTTTAAAAATGTGGCGGATTTGCAACACTTAAAGTGACGTCCGCATGGTGGCGCGTCAGTTTCACAGCAGGGTCTGCCAACTTAGGAAAAATACGTTTGGCAAGAATGTAAAAAAATCTATTCCACTTGTCTGCCAGATACCACGTTGTACATACGCATATTTAGTTCTGTGAAAAGTCATGTTATATATTTTATATAATAAATAAATATTTGTGTTGAGTTTAACTCCTCTATATTATTTGTAGTTATTAAGATACCCGATAGCAACAAAAACATAGGGTCCCTAACAAAAACATTACAACAACGCCATCTGTTTTGTCTCGATAAGTGATCTCTCGATTGGAAGAGAGGTTAGTTTGAAAAGTGTTAAAAAGAAATTTGTGCAAAGTGCATTTCACTAAAAAATAATTATATATTTATCCTTAATAAAAATAAAAATAAATAAACAAATGGTGCTTGTACTCCGTATTTTATTGTAGACATATATATGCAATCTAAAAGCATATTTAATTTAGCATGTTTGTATATATTATAATATTTACATTAAATTTAAACGTTTGTAAAAAATAAATATTTTTTTTATTTTGTAATTACATATGTAAATAAATTTGAAATATTCAATAATGAATGATACATCAGAAGTCAAACATGAAGAAAATTTACCACAAAAAAGACCTCAATTTGGAAATCGTGTTTTATCAAACGACGATGATGTTTTTCGTCACAATGCATGGTAATTATACCATAGATATTTCCCAATTGTTTATAAATATTATTATAATATCTTTTAAATCTTATTAAAATTATTTTTAAAGGGACAATGTTTCTTGGGATAAGGAACAAGAAGAATTAGCCCAAATGAAAGTAAATGATAATTCTACTGTTACATTACCAATGGAAACATTACTGAAATATGAGAATGAAGCTGATAAATATTGGGACAAGTTTTATGGAATTCATAATAATAGGTATGCGTTAAATCATTTTTGAAAAATATTATTACCATGAGCATATGTTTATTAAAATTTCATTTATTTATACAATTTTAGATTTTTTAAAGATAGACATTGGTTACTCACAGAATTTCCAGAATTAGCACCAGATACAGTAAAACAGAATTCTATGCAACCAGTAAGAGCTGTTATCACAAATGATCAAAATAATGATGACAATGATGTAGAAACAAATACACAAGTTCTTAATATATCAACTACAAATTCAAATAAAATTTTAGAAATTGGTTGTGGTGTAGGAAACACTGTATTTCCGATACTTTTGTATAATACAGATCCAAATTTGTTTGTGTACTGTTGTGATTTTTCTACCAAAGCAATAGATATATTGAAACAGAATCCTGCTTATGATGAAAAAAGGTTAATAAAATATTTTCAATATTAGTTTACATATAATACATGTACTAATATTTAATTATTTGTAGATGCAAAGCATTTGTATTGGATGTAACACAAGAAGAATGGATAGTACCATATGAACCTGAAAGTCTTGACATTATTGTTATGATATTTGTTCTTTCAGCTATACATCCAGACAAGTATGTAAAGTTAATTAAATTAAACATAATATTTTTTTTATATAAATGCACATATATAAAAATTAATTGTTTTTTTTTATTTAACATTTAAAGGATGAATCATGTTGTTAAAAAAATATATCATTACTTGAAACCTGGAGGATTAGTTCTTTTTAGAGATTATGGAAGATATGATTTAGCACAGTTGAGATTTAAAAATGGTAGTTGTTTATCGAATAACTTTTATGTTCGTGGAGATGGTACTCGAGTATATTTTTTTACACAAGGTAAATAAATTTCATAAAGAAGAAATTCTTTATTACTTCGATGTATATACTGAAATATTTCATTTCAACTTATCTATTTATTTTAGATGATGTAAGAACATTATTCACTAGTAATGGTTTTAGTGAAGAACAAAATTTAGTTGACAGGAGATTACAAGTAAATCGAGGAAAGCAATTAAAAATGTATAGGGTTTGGATACAAGGAAAATATCGTAAAAAATAAATATGTTGACAAGTAATCATGTGAATTTTGACATTTGATTCTCAAATTCTCCTAGTATGAGGTTTACCTGTAATAGCAATATAAAACATACATGAAAATACTTCAAAGTATTTTATTAATATGAATTTAAAGTCAATGTAATATTTAAAACTTTCTTATCCACATTATACTGTATATATTATTATTTTCTAAATTATATTATTGTACAAAGCGTTGTGTGTATAACCATTAACTATTATATGTTTGTTGGTCTGTTTTATCATTTGAGGTAGTTGGTTATTGGTTTAGGCGCAGAGGGGCGCGCATGATATCTTAGTTGTATAAGCGGCCTGCAGAGGCGTGACTGTAGATAAGTGTCCGTCACATTTTTAAAATAAATTTTTTTCTATGGCTATGCGACTAAAGTAGTCTTTCATTTCCTAGACATCCGTCTTCCGGTTTTTGTACGTCTCATCAAAATGGCTCCAAAACCAAAACCGACGGAAAAAACTGGTAAATTTAAAATTACATTTTTATCATCTAATAAAATTGATTTAATAATAGTAAATAAAATTGAAATTATTATGAATAAATAAATATGAGTATATATCAAGTGAATGAATCTTTAATAAAATGTAGACATTCGTTATTGTAGATAACATAACCACGTGACGCCACCAACACGTGTCTATTTAAGTAATTGTTCTAAAAGATTATTATTATTTATATGAAATTTTGTTCTCTCTCTGTAGTAACAACGAATTGTTTATTTAAATTATGAAAAAATAATATTTTATGTCAAACGTTAGAAAGATCACACAAGTATAACCTAAAAATGACATCATAAGCAGATGCAACGTTAATTATTGACAATAATATTTACCAATTCGTATTGTTGTTTTTCATTTGATTATTTTTCCTTTTTAGCGAGCAAGACTTCTGATAAAAAAACTGAAAAGAAAGCTGAGAAGAAGCCGGCATCTGTTGCTGCTACTTCTTCTAAAGTAAAAAAGCCAGCAACAAAGCCTGCAACTACCGCTGCAAAAAAGCCAGCTACTGCAAAACCTGCAGGTACTGCTAAACCTGCAGCAAAAACTGCAGCAAAGCCTGCAGCTAAGCCTGCACAGAAAGCAGCATCGAAGGTTTCAATTTCAAAACCTAAAAAAAATGCTCAGCCAACAAAGAAAACACCCAAGGGAGGCAAGCCATCAACAACGCCTCTCAAGAAAGCTCTTAAAACTCAGAAAAAGGTACTTATACAATTTTAGTTTTTTATTTTGTTGATTTTGTTTAATGACATTAAAATGATGAGATAAGCAGAAGGGAATCTCTTTGAATGACTATGATAAAAATATTTAAAATGGACTGAATATTCATAGATCGTATATAACACTTAAAAAAAAATAGTTCATAAATAAGTTAAAAATTATAATTATTTGTTCGCATAGATTCTGAAAGGAGTACATGGATCAAGAGTAAGGAAAATAAGAACTTCGGTTCATTTCCATCGGCCAAAGACATTCAGGCCACCAAGAAATCCAAAGTATACGCGAAAATCTGTGCCTCATAGAAGTCGGTGAGTACATTTGGATTTGATATACATACATATATTGTTATGTATAATAACATGTAATATTATAACTATGTATTTATCCTCTTTTTTTTTCTTTTAGAATGGATGCATTTAACATCATTAAATATCCTTTGACTACTGAAGCAGCAATGAAAAAAATAGAAGATAATAATACATTAGTTTTTATTGCGCATACCCGTGCAAATAAATATCATATTAAAGCTTCTATCAAAAAGTTGTACGAGGTCGAAGTGGCCAAAGTCAATACACTTATTAGGCCAGATGGAAAAAAGAAAGTATATGTCCGTTTAACGCGTGATTATGATGCTCTTGATGTTGCTAACAAGATCGGAATTATATAAATACGTTCAACAAATAATTAGAAAATAAAACGAAGTATCTGTACATATTGTGTATATATGTATTTCTTTTTTTATAGTTTTGTACTAATAAAATTAAGGGGTTATTTAATTTTGGTTATGACATATACTGACATGTTTACACCAAAGCTTTTAACTGGTAATGAAGTTAGATTACAGAGTGCTTCAACTAACAGAATTTTCATAAATTCATACGTAGGATCATAACGATAAAGATTACTTTCACGAGTTAATGTAATATATTTACTTTTGTTGTTTTGTGGTAGTACGTATAGTTCTCAATGATGGCGTCTTGCTTATGTCGATCGGAACGCGTCTCGCGACGAAAGTTGTACTAGTCAACTACTATCGCCCACTAGTGGTCCTACTGCTAACTAATTTTGTACACAGTCGATAAATCAGGGATAGGTAATTTCTACCTTATCAGCAACTGCTAGTTAAGAATTCATTGTAGTTAGTACCGGGACCACCAGTTGGCGATAGTAGGTAACTTACGTGAAGACAATTGAATACTATCAAAAGAAAGATACAACTACTATAAAATTTTACAACTATCAAAATATATAGTATTTTATCTACTGTCGCCAACTTGTGGTCTCGGTGCTAACTAAGCTGAATTTTTGACACGATAAGTTAACTTCTGATGTTCTATGTGATTCTATATTCTTTGATGGCGGTTTCAAGTCTGTCAGTTTAGTGTTATAATCAACTTATAATATATGAATTTAAAAAATCCTTGTTAATATTGATTTATTATTATCTGTTTTTAATATATCATAGAAATGAATGTGATGTTTAATACACAATGAACAAAAGTTTATAAATCTAATATAAATGTAAATGTTTAATAATATAACATGAAGAGAGTAAGAAGTGGTATTTTGACAGATCTCTTGAAAAGTAAACTCTACAAGAAGTGCAGTGGTGCTTTTTCACAAATGCATCAATTAGTGTAATACTATATAAAATCATAATAATCATGAATACATAATATTTTTTTTTTTTTCGTGTGGATTGTTATCCCGGGCGCTCAGTTCTTGAACCATTGTGCTCGAATACATAACATACTTAATAATTCCACAATTTTATATAATTAATTATCAAAACGTAAGAAATATTGAATAAATATAATAATAATAATAAAAAAAGAAAGTAATTTTAATGAAAAAAATCTTTTTATATATCATTCATTTGAGTTAAAATCTTAAAATAATTATCTTTTATTTTAGATATATATATATATATATATATATATATATATAAATATATGTAGATACAAAAATAAGAAAATTCTTGACTTTATATATAAAAAAAAAAAAATAATACAAACATTTAAACATTTTCAAAAAAAGAAAAAAGAAAAAAATGTTAAACACAAAATGATGTTTATATAATTAAAATAAATAATGATTGTTAATATAATAAATTCATTACAATACATCATTGTAAAACAACGAATCCTTATAAGAATATGAAAATAGAATATTTGAAGAAGTATTGAAATATAATCGTAAGTGTTACATCTACGTGTAAAAATGAATCAACAAATATTTACAAATCTAATTATTATTTTATAGTTTCCAACATAATGGATGATTATACACCAATAGATGAAGATTTTCCTGGAAGATTGCTTCACCAAGCTGCTCTATGGGATAATGCTGAATTGTTGGAAGATCTATTACGAGGTGAACATGCTCAATATATAAATAGTCAAGATTCATGGGGTAGAACACCATTACATGCTGCAGCTATAACAGAAAATTCACGATGTTTAGATATTCTTTTAAAAGCAGGTGCCAATCCAAATATACCATGTGGTCCTAGAGGCCATTATCGTACACCATTACACATTAGCACAGAACATGGTCATAATTCCAATGTAGAAAAACTTTTGGAATTTAATGCTGATTTAATGATCTGTGATGACAATGGTTTAAATCCATTGAACATAGCAGAAACATATAAGAACAATATATGTATTAATTTACTTAAATTGGCAGCCGAAAGATATGAATTAGAAAAGCATGCGTCGCATGCCTCATTACGTGCTGCTTGTTTACAAGGTGATATTGCAGCAGCTAGAAATATGATACAAAGTTTGTCTAATGATTTGGAATCAATTATTAATATGGCTCCAAATGGCGCGAATACATTGCTTTTTATTGCTTGTGAAATGGGCTACAAAGATATAGTGAAATTACTTTTGGACAATGGGGCAGATTGTAGAATACATCCGGTTACTAAATATTGTCCATTATATATAGCATGTCATAATGGTAAAGTAGAAATTGTTGAGATGCTTCTTCGTTATTTTCCAAATCAAGTGCAGTTCCTTACAGTTGAAAAATGGTTGCCCATTCATGCGGCTGCTATCAATGGTCATTATTTAATTATCGATATATTATTAAAATTTGAATATCCACAAAATTTATATCAAAGATATAGGGATACTTCGGGTGAATTTGAATATGAAATGCCATTTGATATTAATTCACAAGATGCTACTGGCCAAAATGTTTTGTACATATCTAGTAATTTGGGAAATATTAAAATAGTGGATATGTTATTAAGTTTTAAAGTAAATGCAAGAAAGATCAAAGAAGAGGATACGGGAATAACTCAACCATTACCTGTATCCAAACGAAAGATATCTAGTGGAATTCAAAGGTTAATGTCTTCTTTAAATTTTCGAAGCAAGTCTTATGACAAAAAGGATGATAATATGATAAGTCCTATTAATATAGATTTATATTGCAATAATAGTATTGAAACAGCATTACATACTGCTGTAAAAGCTAGACATACAGAAGTTGTAGCAGCATTATTATCAGCTGGAGCTAATCCAAATTTGTCAGCTAAAATGACCGGTGATCATGGTGATCAAGAAATGAACAATTCAACTGTATTAACGATAGCTTGTCAAAATCGTGATATCAAAATTGCTGATCTATTATTAAAACATGGTGCAGTTGATAATGATTGTAAGGCGTTAAAAATTGCCGCACAAAACAGAGACGAAGCATTAACTGCTAAATTATTATCTATTAAAGCTTATCCCGATTCGGAATATAAAATTAATAAAAAAGCGATGACAGATTGTACTCAAACTTCACATTTTTCTGCACTTCCTTCTTTCGGTAATGTTACTTATTCAACGTTATTTCCAAATACACCAACTATGATTAATTGGCATAATCAACAATGTCATTTATCACAGATACGTTCACAATGGTTGATTGATGCTGTATTGCACGTTAACAAAAAATTAAGTCCCAAAAATAATGATCTAGTATTATATGCCATCACAAGGATAGATATATCTCATAATTCTATAACTTCTGTACCATCTACCATATTTTATTTGCAAAGTTTGAAATATTTAAATATGGCACAAAATAAAATAGATATTCTTACGGCTGAGGCAAAAAATCCAAAGGACAAACTGTGTCCCGTTTTAGAAGAAATATATTTGCAAGATAATCGTTTAGAACAATTACCTGATTTTATAATGAATTTATCATCATTAGAAATCATGGATGTATCAAATAATAAATTACAATGCCTTCCAGAAAATTTGTGGCGTGCACCTAAATTGAAAGAGTTAAATGCGTCATTTAATTTGTTACGCGATTTGCCTAGTCAAATTTCTCAAAATATTTCTAAAAAGTCACCACGTGAAGATTCATTGAGCAATAGTCCTAGTACACGAAGTTTAACATCACAATTGGGCATTCCTCGTGATGATTCATTAGAATTCGAATCATTTACTAAAATAGCTAATGCTCAAATTATTGAAATGGAACGTCCACACTTTTGGACAGGATCCATTCAAGTTTCAGAAAAGGTTTCAGACGATACTGAAACTGGTGTTAGATCATTATTAGGATCATTAAATTTGGCACACAATTTGTTTAACAGTATACCAGTAGCATTACCATGTTTGGCTGTTAGCTTAGTCCGTTTAAATATGGCTTACAATTCTTTAAGATCAATGAGTCATATTACTTCTTATCCTGCCAGTTTAAAACAATTGGATTTATCAAACAATCAAATATCTTGTTGGCCTAGTTTACCACAAATTGATAGTACAGATTCAATGGAACAAGCAAATACAGCTTGTTATTGTCCTACTACTAATGTACAATCACCGATGATCCCAAATAATAGACAAACAGCAACATCTTTACGTGATATTGTTCTTATGTCTGTATGTACACATAGAAGACACTTGAGATTAGAAAATTTAAGAACGCTTATACTTGCTAACAATTTATTGAGTAGAATTCAATTAACTTCAATAGACGATGGAGAAATGCCAAATATTGATGAGGAAGGCATTGATAAAGATATGAAAACAAATTATCCTGGATCTAAATTATATCTTTTGTTTCCAAACGTTAGTATGTTGGATATAAGCAATAATCAATTAAAAGAAATACCTCAAAATATTTACGAATTGAATAATTTATCTGTTTTGAATATAAGTGGTAATACGGAAATTGTTGAATTACCACCACAAATGGGATTACTTTCTCGTTTATGGAATTTAAATACTCAAGGTTGTCGATTGCAGGAACCTTTGAAAACAATGATAGAATCTAAAAAATATAAAACAATGGACGTTATAGGATATTTAAAATCAATTCTTGAAGATGCTAAACCTTATGCTAGAATGAAGTTAATGATAGTAGGAATTCAAGGAATTGGAAAGACAAGTTTATTAGAACAATTAAGACAAGAGGGTGAAGTTCCAAATAAAAAAAAATCATCAGAACATTGGGCTAAAAGAATGGGTAATAAAAATATCAATGCTAAAACTGCCAGAGGAACAATCATATCTACTGTTGGAGTTGATATAGGTGATTGGATATATGAGAAAAAGATACGAACACAATCATCACATGGACCAGTTTACTTTAGAACATGGGATTTTGGTGGACAAAGAGAATATTATGCCACTCATCAATATTTCCTTTCAAAACGTAGCTTGTATTTGGTTGTATGGAGAATAACTGACGGTTTCA